TGCTTCCATGGGGTCACTGGGGTAAAATATGTAAGTATTTCCAAATAAACACAAAACCAAATGGAGTAGTGAAACGTATCAGGCTTGGAAGAGAAAAGAAGGCCATACCACATACAAGTTCTGTCTAAAGTAATCTGAATCTCATTTTAGACCCCAGCTAGAAAGGTAATTCAGTGGATGTGGTACAGAAGACAGGAGATTGGATGAAGACTGAAGGGTGCTGACTCTCATGGGCCATCTGACCCACAGCAAGTGATGCCCTACATTTCGCTTGGGGTCATTTCCTTTATCTCTTTAAAATTAAGTAATTGGGGCTGGGGATTTAGCTCAGTGGTTTGGCTGCCTGCTGTGCAAGCACAAGGACCTGAGTTCAATCTCTGGTATCAAAAAAAATAAATAAATGAAATAAAATAAAATTAAGTAATGACTTCCTCTTATTTGTATTATTAAAAATAGTATCAAAATAACCATTTGATTTTTCTAGAGCTCACACCACATCAAGTGAATACAGTAATTATATATGATCTTGGAAAGTGCAGTAAAGTAATTCAGGATATGTGCTCACTGGTAGACAGTCATAATAAACATGAAGATATTTTGATCAGGAAAGGTGGCAAGCAAAACTAATATATCTGCACAACAAGCAACCTAGTGTATTTACACAACAAAGGCAGATATACTTGTATCAATACACATAATTAATACTGTCACTTATTTGTCATGACTTTATGATGATGGTTTAATTCCAAATTATAATTTTTAAAAAAAGAAGAAGAAAACTCGTATCCTAGGTATTTGAGTCTACAAAAGTTAAACATGCTAATTGTATGGTTTGAATAAATGCTGGAATTTCAAGTTCATTATTCTACAGCGGACACAAGAACCCAGGAGATCTGTGCATGCTTTCAGAACCTGGACTCACTCTTCAAAAATGTAAATAGAGCTGGAGTCTTTCCCTCATCTCCCTACTTCCACCTCTTCATTAAACTTTGGGAGTTAAAATGTGAGCAACTCTCACAAAAGTGGTAAGTGTCTGCTGCAGACTCCTTCATTTAATTGAGAACTTTCAGAGAAAACAGAAATGTATTGCTAATGTATTGCCATATTGTAAAGATCCTCCTAATTTTAAATTGTACTGGGATATTCTGAGAACACTCAGTATAAAATTAATTACAATGAATTCAAATACTACTACTTTTTTATATGATAGCAAATGTCCATATGGTTATCCAGTATATCTATCTTTATTTCCTGTTACATTGAAAACATATTCCTACTGCACAACCTAAATGATTTAAATAGTATAATTATTCTTGATGAGAGGTTAACAGGAAAGTTAGCAACAGCCAGAACCTATGTAGCAGCAAAAAATAAAACCAAACAAAAAGCCCTGCCTCTTCCCCAGCATGTCTCCTTGAGTTGGTGGACAGAGAAGCCCTCTGTAGAAGGGTCCCGAGAGGCTTTGGCTAGCATACCATAACATCTAATCTTACGCTGCCATGGAAGAAACTAAGGGGTAAAGTCACTCATTAACATCATTAATATTATTATCAAGTCTCATTATTCCCTCTTGATCTTC